GAGCTTTTCGGATGCGGATTGTCGGATCATGTATTCGGTGGCTTCGTCCATGTTGGAGTTCCTCAGGATTTCTAATACGGTTTCTTCGATTCTCTTTTCAGTTTCTGAGTCCATTTTCAAAATTTCAATCTCTTTTCCTTTTCCAAACCAAAAATCACAAGGGCTATAGTAGTTATGTAGGTTCTTATTTTTATTTTCCACCTTATTTTTGAGGAAAGGGGAAATCGATCAGCAGAGGAGTAAAGTGGAGGGTGAGTTGTTTCGTGGGTTTTAGCGGAATCAGTAGTGGAGAAAGGTACAGTAGTATTCAGAGGAAACTGCCGGTGAGGTCAAGCGTAGGAGACCATTCCGTTCCCCTGTTGCCGAATCACGAAGAAAATCCGGTTTTTGTTGTTCTATAGGTGACTAGCACTGGGCTGTCTAAGATGAGGAGAATTTTTTACTTGGCCCAAGTCAGCCCAATTAGTTCAGTTAGAAAAGATGAATGTTAACTAATAGATTCGTCTAACTCACATGATTCGCAAAACCTCTAAACATTAACGAGATACAAATAAGTCATTATGAGTACTAAAAAGTATAGCAAATGCATATCATCCTAGCTATGATGTGTTAACTTAAATACATACAATTTTATATGTATTCACGGTATGCATTGACAATATATACACACTAATATGTATATGATGCATTACACTTAAAACCAATTTGAATTTTAACTTCAATTCTTGCACAGTCAAACTAACAATAAGGAGACAACCACCAGCCTTTGGGCTGGTGGCCACCACCTAAGGAGGTGGGGTGGGAGGCAAGGTGTTTCTAAAAATGCCACATCTAAGTGGTTTGTTTCTAAAAAATCCAGACGGGTGTGCTGTGTACTCGTCTGGTCCGATGGTGGTTCAATCCCCTCCGAGTTACCCCTGAATCTCCTTAGGTCCGCCCCCTCCCCCTTAGTTTAGGATAGAATAGATTTATCGTTTCGAAAAAAAAAAGAGACTAACAATAAGGAGACTTCCAAGGTCTTAAATTTTCCATGATAACGGTTTTTTAAGGATGTAATTGATCCAAGTGAGCTCCAAGAAGCATGTAAAAAAATCCTGAAATATTGAAGCTTGCATTTGGCCAATGGAATAGGGATTATAATGGGAAAAGTGGTCCATTGATGCTGCTGCAATTTCCTCGCAGGAAAAGGGGGGAGAAAAAATGGGGCAAAAGTGTTGCTGCAATCTGTTAGTACAATTTACAAGTGGCCTCCAAAACATGAAAGACGGTGCTACCAAAATTTGAGTTAAGTGGCGTGCAACGTCATTCATAGTTTATACTTGAAAAGAGGTCGAATACTTCCATTTGAAGCTAAACTGTTCTCAGAACAAAAGTATTATCCACTTCAGTTGAGGTTTAAATACATGATACTAACAATAAAGGATGGCCATATAAATAATACCTTCCAACTTTCTAGCAACTACAATTAGCGAGCAGTAGGACGATTAATTAATCATGTTTCTCAGTAGGTACCGAAGTAATTCTGACCAGGATAATATACAACGTTTAGAGCCATTACTATGTTTGCCCTCCAACTCCACTGCTGCCGATTTGAAATATGAAAGGTAGAAGAAAGAAAGCAAGTAAGCTCCCAACTCCGCGCTTGAATTTCCTTGGTCCTTGTTTCTTCCGCTGTTAGGGCTTGAATTTCGTTGGTCCTTGTTTCTTCTTGCTGCAAGATTTTACGGCACACAAATGTATGTCAGTAAATACCGTTGAGGATTATTAGACAAAGCAAATAGAGAGCAGGAAGTAATGATATACGGCTCGTTATGGAAAGAGTTGCTGATCAAGAAACCAATAGATAAAGCTTGCAGCTTCTGATGGCTCAACGGAAGAAAGAACTACTACCTAGCAATTTCTGGAACATAACTGATTTGTCAAGGCATTACTACTGGTTGAATGCTGAGGATCTGCTCTCAGATTAACAGAGACTCCAAAAGATCATGCAATGCATATCACCTTAAAAAACATGACTTAGTTTTCCCAATTCCCACCATCCAAGATGCTAATCAGACTAGTTGTAGCGAGATAAAAACCCCCAACTTTCTACTAGTTGCAAGATAAAACACGAAGCTCAAAATGACTGAAGCCAATCTCAATTCTTCCAGACCAAATTTCTCAATTTCGAAACAAGACACAACACTGCGTAACAAGTAGTAGTCTCGTTAAGGTATACCTTGATTGAGCATTTCTGTCGTTCCCAGCTGAAGCTTCTCTCCCGCCTCCCCCAAATCCAATATCATCCATGCTCTGTCCAGTCCGCCTATATCTACCACCAGTAGCCACAAAACTTGGGCAAGGCCGGTATGCCTTTATTGGCCACCAACCAAAACCTGGTACTGTTGCTATCCCCCCTTGAATTCTTCCTTCACCATTACAGCCCCTTTCAATTTCCTCTTTCCCACATACCTGACAGCCCCTGTGGGCACATATTCTCAATCTTCAGTAGCATAAAAGAACGAAGAGAAACTTTAAACTAAATTGGAATACAAAGCTAAGCATCCAAAATTCTGTCCAACTTCAACAACTACATTCCTTTCACAGAAAATTTCCCCACCTCACTAAGTATCAACTAATATTATTGCCCTATCACCATTCTGGTGATTCCTACTATCCCTTCCCTCCATCCTATTCGTATCCCTCTTCTGAAAATTTTATTCAAGAGGCTAATAACCTCCTTTAAACTGCATTGGAAGACATCCTTAATTTTCACGTAATCTGAGTTCAATTCATTACTCATTTCTTGAGGTTTACAAGATAAAAGAAAATCACACGTGGCAAATAACGTGCATTCCACGGATAGGAATTCATTTCCCCAAAAATCCGACCACAAATAATCAAATTGTGATCAATTTGATTGATTTTCAACAAGTTAACAAAGTATTAGGACACATTCGTAACAAAATCTAAACTCTAAAGTGGACTAATTCTTTAAGACCAAGAAGAGTTCCAAAAAGTAAAAGGTGATCAATCTCAAGTTAAAGAGATACCTCACAGAGGGTGGAGTCTGAGGTTCTTGTAGAAGTGTGGATGATCCAGATTGGAGGAGAACCTCATGATTATCTGAATGGGGAAACTCATCTCCTTTTTCTTGATCCTCTTCTTCTTCAACGGCAGGTGATGAAGATGTTGAAGCAGAGCGGAGCAAAGGACTGAGCTTTACTGAAGGAGTTTTTTTTGCTTGGGCAATGGAGAAAGTTTGCAGTTTTGGAATGAAAATGACTTGCTTGTTGTGCACCGTCGCTTGGACTTGGTTGGATAGTTTTATCGGTACAGAGAAGAAAGCGGAGGCTCTGCTGCTGCTGGTGGTAGTGGCGGTCATCCTCTCTCTCTCTTTCTCAATGACTCTGCAAGAGAGAAAGATAAGAGAGCTAACAGCCGCAAATTCTCAGAATACTTTTTCTTTCCCCCAAGATTTACTGCTGATTATATTTTCCTTCTTGACGAATGGGGGTGTATCATGTACGTGGTATGCTCTTTTTTTCCCCGAAAATTTACAAATTAGTGGTGCAAAGGTAATTCTCTTTTGTTTTCTGAGGCTGAGATAGATAGTTAAGGGATATTCAAGCTTTTAAGTAAGTGTCTTGCAGGCTACACATCATGTCCTGAACTATAAAATACATATACAATTCATGTTTAGCAGGGATTGTGCGCGTTTGTGAACACCGGGATATCAAGAAACTGTGATGCCTTTTTTGTCTAGTAGGGGTGAGCAACTGTAATAATTCGATTCTTGTAATGATTGGTCTGAGGGCCCTAATTACTTTCTTGTGATTTAAAATAACTGTTTATAATGCTAAGATAAACATATTTCATATTAGACACTAAAACTTCTTCATTCACTAACTTAAAATTTTATATAAATTCTTGTAATACAACTGTAAATAACAGTAATGCTCATACTCATATAACTCCTTTGAACTGGTAAAAGAAATATAGAATGATAAAAAAAAAAAAGCTGAATCATTATACTAACTAGTGTTCAATGCAAACCCAATGTATGTGCAATCAAAAAATACATAATATTTATGATTATATATTTTAAATAAAATTTTTGCTATTGAAGAAGGAATAATTATATTAAAAACATATACTTAAATAGTTAAAAATAAAAATAGTCATGGGTATAAAAAAAAAAAAAAAAAAAGCTCATGAAGTGAAGATAAATGTTAATTTCAATCAAGCTTTATATACAGTATAGTAGATATTACGTCAATACACCATCAGACTACTGCACTGCACTCAGATCCCCTTGCATTAATCTTGAAACCAAAATATCAGAATGGACGTGTTTGCTAAACAGCGGAGGAATCGTAGAAGGTTTCATTGAACTAGACCATGGAACCTCTTTTTTTTTTTTTTAACATTTCACCAGCAGCAAATTCCAACAGTGCAAGAAGGGTGAGAAGACGGTGAAAAAATTGTTCACAAGCACCGGACCCTTCTCTCTCATCAGTTAAGAGTGCTATCTCCGGATGAGAAGAATGTCTATGCCTTCTGCCCAGAAATAGGTGATAATTGGGCTTTATATAGACATTGGAGATCTGACCCAACAAAAAAAAAAAAAAAAAAAAGAGGGTGAAGCTCAGGCCGAAAGAAAAAGAAGAAAGTATCCTATATCCAAGTTGCAAACATCCGTACCATCTTAAAAAAATCCAATCATTCTAGATCCCTAGATGAAATCAACCAGAGTGAAATTCAACGGCGTTGCTAGCCAGCGACATTGAGGCAGCTGATCACAAGGCTTCTGTTCCACACCGGCAGCATAATCAAAGGCTACAGTGGAGACATTATCACCTGGTAGTTTCCCAGCATAGAAATTGTTAATTAAAATATCACGCAACCTCTAGGCAATCACATCGGAAATGTGAGTCATTCAGAGATGCGCATAAATAGCCAAGATAAATGAGTGCAGTGGGTCTACATTTCTCCTGAAGTACAAAAGACAACATGAAAGAGATACAATCTTACGCTTCATTTTCAAAGTCGCATGAAGTTTCTAACAAAGCTGTACTTACTCAAAGATTGCTCAATTACTGATCCGAATTGAAATCAGCACTAGTAAACCACTTTTAGAAGCAAGATGGTAGCTTCTTTACCATCAAAAAGGTGAAAACTGAGGTTAAGAAAATCTTCCAAAAACCGGGGCCTTGGGGTGGGGTGGGGTGGGGGGGAGGGGAGAGAGAGAGAGAGGTTACATAGGATCTTCCAAGGAATCATAGACAAGGGACCCTCGTAAGAAGAGAAAAAAACTGTACCACTTTCAAATTTTAATAAATACCATCATCCTTGTAACTTAAGCTTTGAGACTATGCTTCCTAACCCTGCATCATTTGTTGTTCGGCGCCTCCATTTACCATCATCACTGAGGTGTGATGATGGACCATGTACCACCTTCCATTATGGAATTCAAATATATTAGTCACATTGAATGGCCCAGTCTCCATGTCAACATAAGCTTTCATGGCTACCCAAGCCATATCTGTTAGTACCCGTGCCCTTACATCTTGAACTTGAAAATTAAAACCTTGCTCCCAGTTAAAAGCTAGCTGCCAGCTTTGCATGACCGCACTGTATCTGCACAAGAAAGATATTAGTTCCTCTTACATCTGGTACATATCTGGAGAGCAACAGCAGCTTCATTGGATGAACCGCATGACATGATTTAATTTTCTAGGCTACTCACTACTTGCCTAATAGTTTGTATAACTTCGGGGTGAACCAGATGGGGAAAAAATTGTAACACAAGTTAAGCTACTTACAGAGTATTTCAATACGTAAAAACAGTCATAGAAGCAACGGCTTACAGAACACAGAACAGAAATCAGATTCAGTAATCTATATCAGGCGTGACGTGACCATAGAGGTCCAAGCCGCAATTAGGCTACAAACTTGTGTTCAAATGACATGGTAACAAAACAGATGCATAATATAACGGAATTAATGAAGCTAAAAACAAAGAAGAAGAAAAAGAAGCCAATACAAGAGGAGAGGAGAATGGGGGAAGAAAGATGCCTAGAATTTCTATCGTTGTTTACTCAAACAACTGCCACCGCGTATAACTCAATCACAATCTGCAAGCACGGCATAACCAGCACAATGAATGGAAAAGAAGCAACTCAAATTGCAAACTTATGCAACTTCTAACATAAGGTCAAATAATTGCAAGATAAACTGGAAAAAAATAGAAAGAAAACCAAAGATTCTTTGAAGAAATAAGAAGCATCCTACCCAGTAAAGGACTCTCCAGAAGCATGGAAACACTTCACATAATCTGCATTTAGCCAGAAATGACCCATTTCTGCAAGTGACCTTTCTTTAATGATGCGAAAAAATTCATTGTTAATGTTCACAATGGCTCTTGTAGCTGCATAATAGGCCTTCCATCCATTAACTGGAATCACACTATCCTGCTCCAATGTGAAATCCTGAAATTACATGAGGAAACAGAAACACATTTATTCACCCTTTCAAAGAATTCCTAGAATCATTGCCAAAGCAAACAGTAATTTCACTAGTTAATAAGAAGCTACCAAAGATCAGAATTTTGATATCCTCACTAAAAGAACAAAAATAATCACCATATTTTCCAGTAAAAGTTCTACCAGATTACAGCAACAGGAACATCTGGCTAAAGTATCAAAGAGAAGAGCATATGAAGCACCATCAACCCAAAACCCAATTCATCAGATGGATTACTCAGTATGGTAGCAGAATCAGGAATGATTTTTCCTATAACCTTCCCAGTTAATAAATGTGCCATTAACTTTCCCAAACAAAGTTCCATCCAATAAATACCATAATGTGTTCTCCACTAGAAGAACGATGACGTTTGTTGTCATGTCTTTTACCTACAAATAACTAATATAACCTCTTTGCTTTGCCAGAGGCAAATTATCAGAATTTGAAAATTCCCAGCTTAGTTCGTTTCTTCATGTCTCTTCTATCTCTGCATCCTGTTAAACCCATCCCCAATCCACAACACACCACTATATTTATAAGCCTGAGACAACAACCTTATCCTTCTTCGTGTAGTAGAAGGGCGACCATTGTGGCTTGGCCTACATAATATTATTTAACATATCATTATTGTTTAAAAAAGAAAATGGTAACAAAAGAAACAAAATGCATTCCTAATTTCCTTCCTCGCTAAATTATTAACCCAAACAATCTTCCCTTTTCTGCCAAGGAAAAGCAAGAGACCATTAAACGCCTTTTTGTCAATATAGTAACAAGATTGAGAAACCTACTATTGTCAATTTAACAAAAAGGATAAAAGATAAAACAGGACTTGCAACAAACCTTCAGCCCTCATTACACACTCCAAATTGAAGTCAATCTCCTCTCAGCTGCCCAAACCCAATCACTTATTCCTGTTGAAGCACAACTGAGAGGCAACCAAGTAGAAAGACAAAGGTAGACTTAAAACATACCACCAGATAATGACAAACCTACTCAAGTGACAATCACTCACTATAAGCTTGGTGGCAAATTTAAATCACTTTCTGGAGATCTCTATAGTCATATCAATACTCTACCCCTTATTATCTAGAACAACCCCTTTCCACAAATCCACCTTCAACACTTGTACTATAATACGAAACTCACCAAGTTTTAAATGACTTCTAAACTCTGCATTATAAAACCAAAATTTATTTCATCCAATTCTTAAGCCCATACTACTCAACACAACAATATACACCACCAATTGACAGTGCCAAATTCCCACAATTAATCAATCACAGTTCCAACATCAGAAATTGTAGGTAGATAGGCCAACAAGAATTTTAAAAATCCTTTCAAACTGAGAAAAGCAATTCAACCTTCAAATCGACAATAAAATAAAACAGAAAACTGCAGTCTAAGATCAAAACATACCCAAAAAAAACCCCCCAAATATAAGCTCGAGAAGAAACAGAAATTCCAGAAATAAATACCTTGTGATAGAGAGCTTTCCATGCATTATCATCATTGGCAGCCTTGCGCATCTGTGAATTAGTCATGGAAAGCCTGCACAAACTCGGATAGTCCAAGTAACTCAAAGCATGCGTAGTGATCTCCGGCACCAACTGCTCCATCATCGAAGCACCGGACTGCTTTTCCGGCGGCACCACCGCCGGCACTTTCTCAACCATTTCTTCTTCCCCACTCCTAGAATTATCCTCCAAACCAGTAATGACACCGTTGAGATACGCCGTCGTATGACAAGTTCCCGAATTACCCTTACAAGAGCAACAGTAACCGGCGGAAAATTTCGCTTTTGATCGAACGGTGAAGAGAGTTCCGAAAACGCAACCTAGGGCGGTAATCAAGAGGGCAGCAACAGCGAGAAAAATAGAATTATTCGAGAAAAAATTAGAGATAATAATCTCCATTCATAAGTCATGAACTCTTCGCCTAACATGAAAAACAAATCCTCGCTTCGTTTTGAGTATAGTAGTTAGGCAAAATTGGGAGAAAAACCCTAATAATCTGGTGCGACGAGTTTCACGTACAAAATGTGTCAAACGGGTGGGAGTGATGAGGACGGGGGAGTGGTTTCTTCCCTGGAAATCTCGGCGGTTTTGGCAACCCTAGCGGTTTATGGGTCTGTTTTCTGTAGATTTTTGGTAGCGTGCGGGAGAGGAAGGTTGGGAAGGCGTTACGGGAAGATGGCGGGGTCCTTTTCGGGTTTGATTTACTTCTCTTTTTTCTCTTTTTATCTATATCTATATGTATTCAGGAAGGGGTTTTTAACAGAAACTCTCTCAATGACTTCTAAACTTCTCATTCTTTTTTTTAGATTTTTGTATTTATTTTAATACATAAAATGTAGTGGGTTATAACCCACCTTATCACCCATCAATATTCCTACTATCTCACTCCCACTATCCCACTATCTTAACTCATCCTATAATCACTCCTACAAATTCTGTATTCCTACTATCCCACTATCTCACTCCCACACTCTCTCTCTGTTTCTTATTTGTTTTTGGTTCTCTATTCATTTTGTAAATATATTAATTTTGTTTCTTTTATGAGCAATAGTGGAAGATATTATGTGCAGAGACTTCAGCAGAACTCAACTTTCTTGTGGAGAATTGGAAGTATATTCTTGCCAAATTAATTTTTCAGGTCGGTCCCCTCTGCCTTTTAAGTATGTTTTGCTTTTGCTTTGCTTTTTGTCATGAATGATATTGCATTGATTTTCTGATCATCCATTATTTCTAAAATTTTTTTACAAAATCCTATGAACGGTTGTTTGCTTATTGTTACACTGTAAAACAAAGATAGTCAATAGTAGGATAAAGTATAAACACAAAATCACAATCACATTTCTAACATAAAGGTATTGCTTGCTTATATAATTGCGGATGGTATAGGTTCATGATTAAGGGTTTTACTATTTCTAACATAAATTATATATTATAAAAATTTATTTGTTTGTATTACTGAAATTTTTTTAATTATTTTTTATTGCACATTTATCACATAAAAAAGGTGTTATGATAGTTATTTTCACAATTTTATTCCAAAAATGATCGTGCATGAAATAAAAAAATATTTTTTGATAATAAAAAATAATTAAAAATGGTTTATAATTAGAGAAAAATAATTCAGATACTACTAATAATTAAGGCACTATACGTCCATTATTAAAATTGGATTAATTTTTAATTTCGTCAGAAATTCTTTTGGCAAAATTGCATTCTAGCCTTTCTTTTTTCTATCATTTTCTCTCTGCATTGACTGCAATAATTTTCACTCTATTTTTAATGGGTGGGCTTTCAAAATTGGTAGAAAGAGAGTTTATTAGCATTCAAATAACTGTTATGTGTTGCATCTTTTTGAGATGCTAAATAAGGCATGAAATTTCTTGAAAGATGGTATCCTACTTTTTAGAGTTTGAATCACAATATTACCTTCATTTTTTGTATTTTTTTTATTTTTGCATCCATTGGATTAGAAAAAACACGCTCTACCTGACTTAAGACGGTGATTTTTTTAAAAAAAATCTGATTTTTTTTTGTATTTGAAAAATTCCGAATTCTAACTGAACTTAAACCAAAAGAATAAATTAAAAATTATAGAAGCTGCCAAATTAAAAGACAATATTGAATTGGATATTAAAAGATGGTTTAAACATAGTAGGGACTACGAACCAAAATCTTTGAAAAATAATTCTGTATCCAAAAAATAAAAAAAAAACCTACAAGAACAAACTCATTTTCCAAAAAAAAAGAAAAGAAAAGAAGCATATAAGAACATACGCCCTTTTCCAAATTTAATAATTTATCTACATTATGAACATATTATAAACTAATACATTCCTTTTTATTTAATATTAAAATTTGATTTTAATATATAAGTGATAGCAGAGGGAATGAATCAGTTAGCGACATGTGAAAAAATCGAAAAGGACAAAAACAATTAGAGAAATAATTTCGCACAAAATTCGTGGGTTAAAGTGCAATTTGAGGTATAGATGGGAGGCATTTTAGTGCATTTATTGGTTTATTTTCAATAAGTGGTGGTTGATTTTGCGGGGTTTGGGGGGTCTACATGTACCAAAATATATTTATATAGGGATTATTTCATTAACTATGGGTGCTAATAACAATTCTATTGGTGCGTAATTTTCATTTGATTACAACACAATTATATTAAATTTTATTGATACTACTTCTATATAACTATTGTATTTTTTTGTTAACAATTCTCATACAATGTATCACTTACTACACATAAAATAAATACAAAAACTATTTATTTTTTATTTAATATATATATTTTCTAGATCAAAGAAATGAAAATATTGCCTCTCTTTAAGTTCGACAGCCATCCGCATCACCAATACTTTTGCGTGATCATGGTAAATATACAGTTTTTTATATCGTCAAAAATCGTGCATTTTCATTTGTAATACACACTCCACAAAATTCAACATAGTTAATTAAATCATCAATTTTGGCTTTCGTACTAAAAGTGGATTGGTGTGAAGAGTGTTCGCACCTTCAAGAAAGATTATCAAATCGAATGCTTAGTATTTGTAAGTATTTCATTTTAACAACATTCAATTACATTTATTTGTAGAAATATATCATTCCTTTTTTTAATATAAATTTTAATTTTTTTTTCAGGATCCATCTTTCGAAAAAAGACAGTTCTTGAATGATATACACATTCTATTATATTTCAAACTATTGTTAAACAGATATTACATTTAAATTTTGTTGGTTCAATTTTTTCACCTTTATTTGTTCACCATTTTATTTTTTTTAATAATGTCAGCACCGTGCGTAGCACGGGTATTCACACTAGTTTATTTATTAATGGGGAAGGACTTGAGGAGTTATGGAGGTGGATTCCTCTTTTTATTTTCTGAGTAAATTGGGTGGAGTTAATTAGGGAAAATTTAAAACGGCGGTATGATATTGAGAGATATATGCACATTTCTGATAATGACATAAAATATTCATGATAATTAAGTCACACCTGTTTGGACAAATTTGTAATGTACGGTTGCAGCGTAAAGGGTCCAATGCCAAATGGTTACTTAAAACCTTGGGCTAACTTTATGATTTAGAATCGTCTGAGTGTTCCCTTTCCCTTCCCCTCTAGTTCCCACATGGGTAGGATGTGGTTTGCATCTTCAGTATTTAGGGTCCTCAGTGGTAGTCAAAAGTTGGTACCTTTTGACTATTGCTGTGGAGTTACTTTACGTGTTGTGTGTGTGAGTTGTGTTCTTCTGTTGAAAAAAAAAAAAAACTTTATGATTTAGAAATATATGCGTCTATCTATTACTTGGACTTGTTTGTTTTATTAGAATGCGAAATAGCATAAAAGACTTCAAATTGCTTTTAAATACGGCCTCAATATTGAGGCTCAGTTTGAGGTTATGGTGCGTTTAAAAAAAAGAAAAAGACAAATTCAAGTACTTCAAGAAGTGTTTTTTTATAAAACATTCCACCTCCAAACGAGACCTTAATTAACTTCAGCTAAATCCATCCCTAACTATTGTTAATCCCAAAGTGAACAGCTGCCCATATGGATGTTCTCAAGATCATCACCTTGGAAAAGCTCCTTTCTCCTCCCCTTCTTTTTTCGCTCAACTGGACTTGTGGCTCGAGCTTGCAAATGAAATTGCAAAATCTTATCTTTTTCCCTTACTATGCAGCAGCATACTTTGTACTATTATTTATTTATTTTGCTCCGTTTAGGTGGATTAATTACTACGAGTACTAGTTTTGCAATATTTCGCTTTCAAAAATGGGGGAAAAAAAGTAGACAAATTTGTCTGATATATATATAATGCTTAAACTGACCTGACAAAAGCAACAACGTTACAAAAACAAAAAGAGGCACGTGCCTCTGTATTTACAAAGCTAACGTTAAAGTAAGATGATCAATATGGTCAAACCGCTACTAAGAAGGATCACAATCCATCCTCTGCTACTACTAGTGCTAGCATGAGGGATCTCGTCTGGGCTAGAGCCTCTAAAAATCGTCAAACTCCTACTCAAAACTAAGTGTAGAACTGCAGCACATGCAAATGAGAAGCTTATTGCTAAAACCGCGATTTCCTTCTTTTCCAGACTCGCTTGATCTTTTGTGACCTGTTCGACATCTAATCTGCAAATTTAATTTGAGGTAAGAAAAGCGAGAAAGAAATCAACTGGAAATCAAACAAAAGGTAGGTATATCTTCTCCAAAGATAGAATGAAACCCATATTAAGAATGCTAATCCGAATTCCAAATGAGCTACTTCTACTACAAGTGGATTAGCAGATAATCAGCTAATGCTCTAGAAGCAAAGCAGCTCCTTTACAAGGATCAATCACCAAGTTTCTTTCTTCTCACAGGACTTGAAGAGTGACCAAAGCATCAATTCTTCTCTTTTAGCAAATGCAGAACATTGATCACACAGAGCTTTGACGTGGTAAGGTTATGGTGTTTTACAAACATGTCTATCAGAAAATTTTCAACAGATGGACATTCAAATTCTTTCAGCAGCGAGCAAGCGTCTAGCATCACCCGAGAAAATTGTTCTACACAGTGTTGACATAAACGTTACACTAGATTTTTCCATCCGCTGAGCTAAAACTGAATTCAATGGATATAAGTGCAAAGAACCAAATGACCATAATTTTATTTGTTTACTAGTAGCAGAACCAAAGATAACTCGTATTTGAACTATATGAACTATCTGCCGTTACCAACCTTTTGGGACCCCTAAATTCTACTTTTATCATCTGAAGAAGTTCTGGGTACAGAAGGATTTGCATTACACCTTCATGAAATAAAATTGTTTTCTGCACTCACTTGGCTGTTTTAAATCTGTTTTCTACTGAATATAATTTCAGAGAAGCATGCCACTCTCTTCAAACCATAAGGCTCTCCATGGACTATAAAGAGTTTGAAAACAGCAGTGTTGATATAATAAATATGATGCACCATGTACCTATATCTAGTTTGTAGAATAGATAATGAAAAATCATTCGATGATACATCTAATGCATATTCAACAACAAATTTTGAAGATAATGCCACATCAATAGCATTTGAATTTCTTCATTCTCAAATTCTCATGTCTAATCTTTATAGCAGTAATAACTTCGAAAACAGTTAAAGCCTTCTCCTTAGTGAACATGTAAAATATACATCAAAGAATAAACAAAAAATCAGAAAAAGAACATGAGCAAGAATAGGTTGCACAATACTAAGTCCAACCTTAGAAGGCCATTTTCTTGGATCAACAAATCCAACTGGGCTGCTATAGTAGCTTTCCATGATTCAAGGTCAGTAATTCCTTTCTCCTGCAAAAAGAATTAAAGTTAGAAAGTTAATGAGTGCAGAAATTCCTCTCCAAATATCAGTCTGTAGTCGTGCTTACCATGGTTCCCTTCCATTCCAAGAGATATTTTATCTCCAATTTACTGCTCTCCAGAAGCAGTGAAATTTTAACCATTTCTTTCTCAAGGTCAGGAAGAATGTTCCCCTGCCTTCTGTTCAGCTCTTTGATGTACTCCTCCAGCACAGACAGGTTCAACTCCAGTGATCTCACTCTCTGTAATAAAATCTTTACAGCAGCATCAGCATGAACTCTTCCATTAGGCTGTTGCCTAACATTCAGGATGGGATCAGGACTGCTACTAATGGTTGCTGATTTCCTTGGCATATCTATGCTAACTTCCTCTTTAACACTATCTATAGCCTTGCCCGCAGGCTCAACAACACTTTGAACAACATCGTCTACTTGATTGTTGCTGGAACCAGGGTCTGGTACTCTTAAAGATGCTGTTGAATTTCGATTGGGCAATGCATTTGTTGGAGACTCCTTAGAAGTCACAATAAGATCCTCAAGCATCTGCTCGATGGCATCAACACCATACACCTCCACAAGACTTAGAGTGCAGTAAAATTCTGATCCATAATGACTGAGTAAACTCAGCTTCAAGTACCTGACCCATTTTGGTTCAGGCAACTTGAAACACTGGGCATGCTTGACATTTGCAGCTACAAAAGTCCCTAATGAAGTCCATGTCTCTGTCGGGTAAACTAAACTTCCAGATAGCTCAAACTCTTTAAAGTTAGCAGAATAATGCTCAAAATTTGCAATTTTGACAGCATCAACCAGAGTCTCATCAGCAAGCTCAATCACGAAGAACTTCCCCCCAACTGAACAAGGGTTTCGAAGATATTTATCATGATCCTTCCCCAGTACATTACTTGCACCATTTGTTTCCTTATTATGAGCAACCACTTTAGCACCCTTGGATGCTGCAGCATAATTGTATGGTTTTCCATCAGGCTCAAGTCGTTGGGTGACATTTATTAGCTGACTTGGAGAACTTGAGCCCTTACTTTGCCCTGTCATATTTCTGAAATCCTCCAGATTGGGATAAGCTAGATGAGTTATTCCATTCTCCAACTGTTGTGATCTATTTTCTTCATGTATTTCCAGATGTTTTACTTCACACGAGCATTTGGAGTCTCCCAAAGCACTAGAGATTACCTCCTCCAGTCGACTAATTTTCCGAGGTGAGTACTCCAGCTTTTTCCAATGATCGTCATGGATGGAAGAATTATCAGTAATTACACATACATTAAACTCCACTGGCATGCATTTTGCATAAGTCTTAATCTCATTTTCTACAAGCGGAGAGGTACAATTTGACAGCTTATTGTTGCAATCAGTGAAGTTACTCGTGCTCTCATTATAAGCAAGCAGCTTTCCTGCATAAATCCCACGTCAACTACAACAGTTGAACAAGAACATACATAAAATTGCCAAATTACTCCCCAGTGCAACATCAAACCTAACATCTCAGAAGCAAAGTTTAAGCCCTTTTTTTCATTCTCAGTTGGAAAAATTGGTCAACTTCCACTGACAGCCTAACTTGGTAATTGAACCAAAAACCAAGTTGAAGACCTACAGGTGATCAATGGTAAAACAAGCCTACTGATCAAACTTGATCTGAATTTTTTTCATCCTAGCTTTAAATTTTGTTCAAACTTGAGTTGATTAGTATTCGAGTCAGAGTAAAAAATTCCAAGATTTATGCTTGTCCAGCAGGGCTTTAAAAATAAACTAAGACTGAATTCGAGATCTATTTAATCAGTTGAAGGAGCAATCTTGAACAATTTTGTAAAGGCAAGCTCCATTAGCCTTTATGCCATAAAAAATATTATTTTTAGCAGAAAAGGAAAAAGGAAAATGTGAAAGATCTTATCAAAAGAGATTCCAGTTTAAACGTCAGAATAAAAGCAAGCCAAAATGAAAATTAAAGACTAGCAAAGCTTTCTACACTAGCAAAGAAGCATTCACTAATTCAACAAAAACCAACTTAACTGGTATTAGCATTCACTAAATGAGTTCCCAAATTTTGCAAGTAAGGACTCGGGCTGCACAATGAAGTCATATTTAACAACTCGGGTAAAAAAAAAAAGGAAGATAGATAGTCAAGAAAGAAAACAAGATAACGGCATTACAGAAAAGATCCAATTCTTAAGTGTATAACAGAGAAAGAAGAAATATTATACCTTCATCATTACCGGCGACGCGAAATTTTGAGCAGAACAAGACAACAATACACAAAACTGAAAAGAATAATGGCAGACTCTTCTGCTTGACGGGGTGACCTTCATTTGGAAGCTCTACGTTGGCGGGATCTCCATGGCAATATCCCTTCATCTCCCTCTCATAATGCCCTTTCTCACTGTTTCATTAACGCTTGCCAAAATTCCCAGCAGCCCGTCTGTTTTCTACTTCTTACTTTTCAAAGTTCATAAATCAAAAAGTAAAAAAGCAAAAATGATATAAGCTTTTTTTCACTCAATTTGGGTTACGTAAGTGTCGATGTTGTTGGCGATGATGCAGTTTTGAGAATATTTATGGGTTTTGTGGTGACGAATTGCAGAGAACTCCCAAATTAGCGGAAACAACAACTTGTGTGCTTGTTGTCATCTACTTCGGTGTTTTTTTACGTCCCCACACTTGTTCCTATATTGGTCCTTTTCTTTTCCCCTTTCACTTCTTGATATAGCTATGGAATAATTTTGAAAACCTCCCATGCGGTTTCTAAAAGTTACACTGGCCTCCCTCAAAGTTTTAAAAATTGCAGACACCTCTTCTAGAAAAAGGTTGACGTGTAACAGGTCAAGCAAGCCTAATTCAAAGAATAAAATAAAAAAAAATAAATAATTAGTTCAGAAGAGAGAATACAATAATGTAATTTCAAAAATGCCTTAGTTAGTTAATCTAATGCAAAAACGTATATTATTTTAATAAAATTAAAAGCCAAGAGGTATAATTGCAAAACGTTGGCAAATGCAAGGCATCAACTTCAAGCTTTTGCAACTATTTGCAACAACTACTTCGAAGAACACTTGTATACCGGCAACAACAACAACAAATTGGAGATCAAATTCCAAAGGGTTTAGATCCAAGAATCAATATAGAATCACTAAAGACATAGCAAGAAGCCAAACTAATTTCAACCACAAATTAAAATAACAAAATATGGTAGTCTCAATCCTTAAAGGTGGATCTTGGAATTCACTAACATTATTCAACACCAGGAACAAATATTCCTATATTAATTGCAAGTCTGGAAATTTTTAATTCAAAATTGTGATTATTTTAAAAATTGGCGCCTTTTTCTAATGACAAATTAGAAATTTTTTCTTAGTTCTGAATTGTGATAATTTCTATTTATTCGGTTAACTACTAATTTAATTGATTAAGTCCACATAATTGCCAAAACACCTTGTAAGTAGTCATTTTACTAGGTTTGGTGTAAGTATTACTGCATTGGGGCCCAATTTTATGATGTAGGAGATCTTTTAAATTTTTAAAATCTCGAGAAAAACTTCAAGGGAAGTTTTTGAAATTATCCCTGTATTTATTCTCTTAGGTTTGCTCGACTTAAATAATATTTTTAACCAAATGCATTCATCAAGGAAATTGGGAAACTTTTCTCTTAGGTCTACTTTACTTAAATACTAATATTTTCAAGCAAATGCATTTCATGAAGGAAATTGGGAAACTTGAAGATTACAAGAAAATTATAGGGATAATTTTAGAAACCTTCCATGAGATTTCTGACAATTTCATTAGCCCCCCCTAAAATTTGTAAACTTACACAAACCTCCTATGAGGTTAAGGTTTTGATAACAAAATTAATCCATTTAGAAAAAATAAACATTCAAAAGTACTTTTAAGAAGAGATATGAGACTTTTATTACATAAATACACCTTATACGTGTATATAAGTTATATTAGTAAAAGAATAAATATAATTAAAAGGTAAAAACAATTAATACATACATTTCATCACTCAAAAAGTTCACATTTAATAAATTAAACAACACAAATAAGCAACAAAACTACACTAATGATCACCAGATTCAACAAAAATATACTAGTCATCACTTTTGACATGATGTTTACTATGATTCTTGTGATTTTAAACAATAAATTTTTTGAATTTTGCCATTCTTTTCTCTTTATTCCCCTTTATTAATATCTAACGATTAAATAATTAAAGCACTAATTAACTATTAGTAACTAATTAATGAAAATAACTTTTAAAAATTTCTTTAATGATGAACGATGATTTGTATTTACAAAATAACATCAATTGATATATCTAATGGAGAAAGGAGGGAAAAGAAAGGTAAAATTCAAAAAAAATTTCTGTTACAAGAATTACAGGAAACATCATATCGAAAGAGATGACTATTCTATTTTGTCAAATCTTGTTATTATTTGTAGTTTCATTACTTATTTGTGTTGTCTAATTTATTAAATGCGAACTTTTTAAGTAATGAAATGTACGTATTAATTGATTTTATTCTTTTATTAATACAACTTATATACATGCATAAGGGGTATTTATGAAATAAAAGTTTCACCTCTCTTCTTAAAAGTACTTTTTCTAATTGAACTAATTTTATTATCAAACCTTATTTTCAAAAGAGATTTGTGCAATTTTACAAACTTTCGGGGAGATTAGTGAAATTGTCAGAAATCTCAGGAGAGGTTTCTGAAATTATCCCAAAAATAAAAGTAGACTTGTTAAATCGGCAGGAGATGGGACTCTGAAGTTTGAACACTGAGATACCCTTCGACCAGATATGGAAAACTGACCAATGCGCTCAAAAAGGAAAAAAAAATATTGATAATATTCCCTCAAAAAGAAAAGAAAAATACAAATTTGTTTAGTACTGCAGTAGTCCTGTAATAGCTTTAATTACCAGTCTTACCAAAGACTGGAACAAATTTCTTCAGTCAAAACAAGAAAAAGACAAACATATAAAAAGAAATGTTAATCTAACAATCTGAGGCAGAAAAATGACTCGATCCATCCCAAATTCAAATACCTCCATTCTTGCCTATCCCACCAATTTTCAACTGGCAGATCCAAGGAATAACGGGACACGGGATAATCTAGCTTCTTGTTTTCGGTAGCAGTCTCAAATTTTAATCGGTAACGAATGCAAATAAATGGAAGAAGGAAGTATTGCATGAAGATCACTGATCAAAATCAGTTCGTAAGTGCGAAGTAGTGCACTAATTTTGCCTCTCAACTGTGCTTTACAGACTGCAAAAATGCTGCTCAGCAGCAGAGAACCCAAAGATGCAAGACATTTTGACCTTATCATACAATTCCCTTTGCCAGGCATCTATAGGGCACGACAAAAATTTTGAAACCCTGATCTCGCAAAGCTTCAGCGGCATTGCTCTTGCACTGCACGTATGCAATCCAATCCAGAAGTAATCAAAAGAAAGATCACAACTTGCCAAATCTCTAGTTTTAGTCTCTCTTCACGAGGATAATAAGCTGTACTCCAATTCTGTATCCTGCTTTTGCTTTTGGCTGAAGAAGGGAAGGCTTCCAGGATCTCCCTCCTCTAAGATAAGATTTATGGGCGTGTGCGGTGGATAACTATCAAGGATAAAGTCAATTTCCTCTCCGCTAATCTCTTTCTGATTAAGAAGAACCTGCAAAGCAAAGGGCAAGGATTCAGTACACCACTGGGACACGTCAGAGTAAACTGCAGGAAACCACCCATCTGTTCCACAATTGTTGTATACATTGCTGCAAAATTTACATTTCTGGCAGCTAATGAGCAAGTTTTGTGTTCCAAAGATCACAAGTTAAACTAGGTCCCATGCAATGCCAAGCAGGCACAGTAAGAAAAATAGATCACGAATTGAATCCGCATGAATGAGCTTTCCCAACATTCCGCCCAGATGCGATTCTTAAAATTTTGGAAGAGTATAATAAATCACCTTTTCCACCATCTAATTGCACAAGATAACATCATTGACAGTGTTAAAAGATTTTAATCACACGTCCACACATTGTGGACCACAACATACCTTTACAGTTTTAAATAAAGCAGCTTGATGCCTTTTCAGCAGAGCAAGAGTCATGGCATACATCTCACGCATTAACTCTTCTGTCCTCCTTGCAATTTCATCATCCAAATTGAAGTTGACAGGGCGCTCAATCAGGCCATAATCATCATACAGTGATCCTTCAAAGTCAAGGCGTGGACCAACAAACTTCGGACTTTTCCTCCAAGGAGGAGGTTCCCCGTGTATGACCATGGGAGTCTCCAAATTCCATCTGTCAGAATAGAAATGAAGTAACTAGGCTGGTAATACAAGCAGTTGGACACTGAAATTGAGATCCAACAAATACCTACATAGTTATTATCTTACGAGCAAGCCAAGATGCATCAGCAAGGTAGTTAACTGATGCTCTTGATGTATCCCGACCAAAAATGAGCTCTTCTGCAGCTCTTCCTCCAAGTAGAACCTTTGCAAGCACACCGTCAACATAGCAATCCAGCTTAAAGAGGGATAAAAGAGAAGGAAAACATTCTAGTTACTTTAGGTTCAGACCTGAAGGCGGTGCACCAACTGTGGCCGTCGCTCAAACATGTACGACTCATCGTCAAGGCGATGGAACACAACTTGGGACAAAGTCTGCATGAATCATATAGCAGGAAAATAAATATATCAAGAATAGGATAAAGTACACCTCACATGACAGACCAAATTATTGTATTAAAAGAGTTGAATAAGGCAGTTTGGTCAATGAACTAAAACAGACAAGAATAGGACCATTAATAGTGAAGCTGCCCCCAGCATTATTGGCAATTTTTACAAGGGAGATCAGAGTTAAAATGAAAAAAGAAAAAGGAGAATTTGATCTATAAAATATTACCTGTCCACGGGGAATAATTGAGACACGGTCACAACGTTCCACTTGAGCATTCTCTAAACGCCTTAGCAGGTGAGAAGTCAGAGCAGTTCCTACCTCAGTAGTAGCTCGACGACATTGTCCCTGATGACCCAGCTCAAATCCAACTCGTCTGGGTCCTACTGTAAGACGGTCTACTGCATCATCCAGATCTGACTGAATAATTGAGCTGTGCCCTTTCCTAACTGCCACAAGAGCTGCCTCCTGGAGAAGCTGTGCCAGCTTTGCACCCGTCCATCCTAAATATGTAAGTATTGTCCATATTAACTAGTACAAGAAGACATCAACTATAGAAGATCAGTAACCCATTTCTTTTACCCTACAAGTAATTGGCAGCAGAAGTGGAAAAAAAACTCCCATGACGACCAAGGAAATATAGAGCTGTTTGCCGTGCCAATCATCAAACAATCAACAGCTAACTTCATAAGGAAACAAACCAGACAGAACCTTGCAGAAGGAGAAGAAAAAAAGAAAGAAAGAGTTACCTGGTAAGTTTTTGGCATAACTCGCCAAATCAACAGTTTCTGAAATTTTTACTCTACGTGCATGAACTTTTAGAATGTCCAGTCTTCCTTTTGCATTCGGAGGGCGGATTCTTATCTACATAGAAATGGAAATATCCATTAATAGCCTACCATACTGGAGAAGAATGTTGGAGAACCAATGAATGAGAATCCAACATCACAAAAAAAAAGGCAAAACAAAAACAAAAACAAAA